ACTATTTCAAAAAGAAAAATATGTCACAGTTTTACCAAGTTGATGTGAATTTTTTTTTAAATGAAAACTGACTTTTTATGTAATGTGCTTTGTCATAACATGATGTATCCGTATGTGGCGAACTCTTCTCTATTATTCTTGGTATTATGACTAATCTGTCGACTCATTGATTTTCTGTTTGAAAATCGATCAGAAAAACAAGTAGAAATCCATTCATTTTAGCGGTATTTTATGTACATTAAACGATTGAGAGTATTTTAAATGTTATGCAAATTTTATGCAACTCTTGATTTTTAATAAGGTTTAAAAAAATTTTACTTTGACAATAATGTAAATGAGGTTGAATAACATTTTCAAAATTGAATATTTAGGCTAATAGTTCATGCAATATTTTTTTTATAAAATAGAATCTCAAGAAATTTTTTTCTCAATTAGTTATGTAATCTACTTTATATTTTTTTGATCTATTCAAGTACAAAATTTACCTGAAAGATTCACTTATTGTATATATTTATAAATTTAGAATTAAAATCTTGTCATCGTTACAAATGAAAGTTGTCTTTAATAGAAAATCTGCTTTTACATATAAAAAAAAATAATTGAGTTGCAAAATTAATATTATTCTTCTCATTGAGAGATAGAACAAAGAAAATGACAGACAATAGTAATGAGACTATGGGTTACGAATATACTGATTTTCCTACATTGAATACCTCATTCAGTAGAATGTTCAAATGTACCGTCTTATTCGTTTGCCAAATTCCTTCTGTTCTATGCAGTTTGATTATATTCTATTACTTTGCACGATTACGAGAATTACGAGCAAAATTACACAATCATGTGTAAGTAACTTTTTGTTTTAATGCATGACTTTTCATATCTTGGTAATTTTTCTACACACTTCAATGACTTCTTATTTTCTAAAGTCATATGTTCAATTTACTATAATTATACAGATGAGGAAAGACCTCGAGTGTATGGCTCTACTGGCAATCAGCTTTATGCCAGTTTGTAGAGCTTGATGAGTTGATCATGATGGCATAAAAATTTCTTTCCTGTAGACTGCCTATGAAGAACTAAATCAATTTTAACTTCAGAAAAATTACTGTAAGCTGCTACTTGAGAAACTTCAGTTTGTATGTTAGTTTAGTTCACAATAGGAGTCTTAATCGACTCAAAACAAGATGTCTAATAAGACTTTAATGACTACATCTTTTAAATAGTATTCACAAAAAATCTTTATTACGGATACATACAGTCAATTAAGACGCATTCAATGCTAAAACTTTGAATGTTTAGAACTAGGCTAACATATAAACTGAAGTTTCCTAATAACAGCTTACAGTTATTTTTCTAAAGTTATAATTAAATTAACTCTTCAAAGCTCAATCTACGGGGAAGAACGTTTTATGCCATCGTGATCAGCTCATTGAACTCTATTAATACATAGCTAGGTCAGTCAGAGATGGAACCGGTACTAATCCAGATTTTCGATCGACTAGTATACCCGTAAACCGGTCTCAATTGGTTTCGGATATGGGGTGTGGAGTGTGGGTGTAGATGAGGTGGTGCGTGTAAGATGTAGGTGTGGGTGTATGGGGAGTGTTGGCGTGAGTGTGGGTGCGTATTTGTCTCTTTTCATTCACACTCACATCCACACCCACATCCTCAAGAAGATCTGAGTCCAAAAGTATAAGGAGCTCCTATTTTCAGTTGAAATTTCGACTGGCATTCATTGTTTGAAAAACGATAAGACTTAAGCGGCACGCAAATAGACGCGTTGGTAGAGAAAGGGTGAAGAAAAAGAGCCACATGAGTAGAGAAGAATGTTAGAAGTATGAGAAGCAAACTATAGAAAAGTAAATGCGTAGAAAGAAAAAAAATGATGTTTTTCTTTCATAGTTGTTGCTTCTGATTGTGAATCAAAACGCCATGCTGCATATTTTTTTGTTCGTACACACATGTCTCTGATTTACGGTGACGAAATGTTACTAAACTGGCAAAAGCAAACTTTTTGCAATATCAGTGATCAATGTCCATATTCCATGATGAATTTCTGGATTAATTATTGCACAGGTTGATTATTAGGTTCATTTTACTCCTGTGAATTGAAACGACTACAGGGCGCTATCTAACATGCTGCACCAATATTTGTGTGTATACGAGTGAAAATTCTTGTACAATATTATCGAAGATCAATTGCCGCAAAAATTACAATTACGATCTTAGATTTTCGACTTTCATTCATTTATCAACAAAAGAAACAGTGCTCTACGATCCAACGTACGATAAAAATTTTAACGATTTAAGCGATGTTGATTGCTGCCAAATATCAAAAATTAGTCAAGAAAAATACATTTTTTATAAATATGGGGAGTCGTATTGTATAATAATCTTTGGGGTATTATGACTCTTTTTCTCAGTTGTAAGTTGTAATACTTTGATGATGAAAGGATGCTTTTTGTACAGCAGCATTATTTTATATCTGCTTCATGCTAAGTGTATATTTCTAAGATGATAGACATACTAACTTTTAATGTTTTGATTAGGATATTACTCGAAGTTCAGTACAAATCTTTAGGTGATAGCATGAATGTATTTTGTTTAAAAACAATATAACACAAGAACATAGAAAGAAATTATACATGAATGGATGCTTCAGTTTCGATTGTTTAGACATGTTTGAGTAATGATTTTTGAAGTGTTCAGTAATTCATACGAGTGTAGTCTTAGAGGTTTACTAGTGCTTTTGTTTCAAGTCTGTTGATAGCCTTTCCCATACCAAAATCAGCATTTCGTTATTTATTGATGGTAGACCACTCCTTTTCACAAGTAACGACGAAGTGACGATTATAATCGCACTGTGTTATCAAGCGAAACATATATGCGTGAATTTCGATGTAGCGAGAAATAGTGATTATCACATTTAACCACAGTTTTTCTACTTTTTAAACTATTTTGTTTTCATAAAAATGTCTAATATTTCAGTGAATTTTCTTATAAATTTCCCACATTTATTGAAGTAGGATTCAACAAAGTGTAATGAGAGTAACCGCTTGAAAAAACTCTTAACATTATGACCTCATTACACTTTTACTGTATCGTTATAGATGGCTTTCTAAAATTAGTCAGTTGCATTATGAAGATATATCTATGTTCTGCATTAACCTCTGTATTCTGGATTTTTATTGTAGATTTTACAAGTCAACTATCTTGATAATTTTGTTTTGGATTTATAAAACTAGAGCTTGACATTCTTTTAGATTAATTAAAAAAGTAAAGATTATCTCGCAAGGTAGAATAAACAAACGAAGTATGGCAACTGGTTCCTGGGCAGTGTCCAATGGTACAACTAACGACTATGTAAATTAAAAATACACGATGAGAAAATATAGATATACTTATTTTATCAGATGTTTTTTTTTCTGTGCCGTACAGACCAATCAAGATGTGAATCGATCAGTTTCATGTTCGTTTTGCAACGAATGCATTGAGTCACCTGATAAGCTCAAAGAACATTTGATATTATGTGGTAACAAAACAGATCAATGTCCTAAATGTGGAAAATTCATTCGACGTGCCATCTTTGCTTATCACTATGAAAATAATTGCTCGAATCCAGAAGAACATAATGAAGCATCCGACAATACTGTTGCTAATAGAACAATCTTGACCACAAACGTTTATGGCAGTGAGCTCGACGAATGTTATTATTTCATTCTTTGTACTTCGAGGCTTCTTTTATATGAAATAGTAAAGAATTTAATGGAATGTATATATTGCTCTGCAAAAGTTGAACGACAAGATTATGACTTACACAAAGTAAATATTTCAGTTGGATTATGTCAAAACCAAAGTTCATTTTCATGTCGTTTTATTTTACTTTTAGAAAAATTGTATTAAAAGTCCGTTGAATGTTGCAAAGAAATTACAACAGAATGCAACCCGTTTTACTGATCCCACTTTAGGTGAGTATATTAACGACAAAAAATGTTATGACATTCCAATAAACATCCAAATTGTAAACAATCAAGATTTTAATTGAAAACGACTTCTCGATGACAGAATACAAACTAATCGTTTTCGTGATTCCGAGTTTGCTTTTATTCATCAATACTTTCAATTACTTGAAATATTAAGCTTTCCTCATCATCATTTCTCTTGATTGCATTAAAATTTCACAATACCTCAACATTGTAGAATGATCATACACAACACATAAACCAATTAATTTGAAAATTCGAACATCAACTCTTCTCAACAGTCTATGGGAATGTTTTACTTTTTGTTTTGATGATATGATACCAGTAGCAACAAGAAATCGAATTGTCCATAAGAATAATAAAGAGAAATGCAGATCGAATAATAAAACTATTTATAACAATACCTAAATCCTATGTGTTCATCATTTTGGAGAGTGTTATAAAATTAATGCGATCCCTAGAAACACATTCGAGGTCTTTACCAATTGTAAAACTTCGAAATCTTTTACAATGGTACTCAATTAAATTGTAACTACTTATTCGTATATGAGTAAATGCTTCATTTCGATAAGAATGAATCAGAACACTTAAAAATGTTTAACTTTTAAAGCTGAAGGATTCTTTGTGAAAATTATTTCTCATAAATCGCTAATGGTTTTCTAGAACGAAAATCAAATGACAATAAAGAAATCGGCTTAGAATTTTGTTGTGATTTCTGTTGAAAAAGTTGTAAGAAATTTAATGAATCACTCTGTCTGAATTTCTGTTCAATAACAATAGATCAATCATTTGTTTCAGGATTTTAAAAATGACTAAGAAAAAGAATCGAAATGATTTTTATGTTATCTAAATAGTCACAAATACTGTATAAAAGTCATTGAAAATTATGCCTCGATGAGCGTCTACTGTGAAATCACTTTCTTACTTAACAATCCTTCGCCAAAGTCTAGCTAGACTAAAATAAATTCTCTCTTTTTTTGTCATTCAGTTCGCATAGTTAATATCACAGGACTCGATGGAATTTTATTTTCTTTAAATCTGCCCTCTGCATAATTTTACGATATCGCAAACAAAAATTGTTAGTGAATAATTCAATAAAGTGTTTCATTAAAAATTCTATAGAAAATTTACGTCTTTTTGAGTATTGTATAAAACAAGAAATTTCTATTTCTATTTCAAATATATGAATAAATTTAGATGCTGATTCTTCAAAATATGCATGTTTTCGAAAGCTTACAAACTATCTATTATTAGTCAATAAAAAATTGAATCCCATGCATAGTGTATATTTTGATAGACTAGTCGATTCTTTGCTAATACAAAATAAACTGTGGTGAGAATGATCGATTCAAGTTTGTATGTTCCATATGAAATGGTCACACTATTTCAAATAAAATGGACCGCTTTTCTCCATGTCGTGTCTCTTTTGTTCACTTAAGGTATGAATCAACGTGTTCTAATGAACGACATCAAAGACGAAGAAAATATTCCTTGCGAATATTGTAACGAATCAATACCATGGCGACACTTTAACTATCATTCGGTATAAGTACTTATTTGTTTTTCAAGATTTTTACTTTAATTTTTACTTTTATGATTTCAGAAAGCTTGCCAAGAACGAGCACACAAACGATTAGAAGAGAAAGCACGGTTAGACTACATCTCTTTCAAGTGGTGCTTATTTTAAAAATAATTGTACTATTCCAGAGTGAAGGATGAGAATCTGATTGGAAAACATATCGAATGTGTATATTGCTCAGCTTCAATATCTCCATATATGATTAATTCTCATGAAGTTAACACACTGATTTTTCTATGTCTTATTAATTTATTATATTTCTAGCTTGTTTGCCCGAAACATCCGCAAAATAAGACATCTTTCTCAAACAACAATAACATTAGTAACAAGTAAATATTCAGAGAATTTGAGTAATAGTTATGAAATATCAAGAAGACTTATTTTTGTATTTTTTTGTAACTTTATTTCTCATTCGATCACTCAGAATAGTTCTGTATGAGCATATTTAATGTTAAATCAGGCTGATATATTACAACACCGTGAATTAGAAAGAAAACACTTTTTATGTATTGCTTAACTCGTATGTCATCCATTAGTAACTTTTTATAGGATTGCATATGTTTAGAAAATAATTTCAACGTTATTTTCAATTGAAATCTTTTCGTATATTAGCACATATTAATGCCATTAGATTATATTCCTTGATAAGTTAAACAAAGTCTTCTATTAAGTCGAATTCAGTTAAGTATATTCATTTGCTATGAGGGTTCATAGAAGGATTAGGAACTAACTTAGAGCTATATGACTTCATTTAATTTTCACGGCTATTTTTAATTAAGTCACTATATTTTTATGCCGGTTCGTTATTAATTAAATGCATGATATCAACTGTTTGTTACAGATAAGCAAATCATTGGATTCATACATTAGAATAGAGAAAAAGCGTCGAGTCAGTGGGACATCTGTGCACATATTCAGTTCCCTTTTATCTTAATATGGTTGTATACTTGATGCGAAAGTTAAATGTTAATATACACCAAAGTATTAACAATCTGTCTAAAAGAAAATAGTAATGCTCACCAAGACACTGTTCTCTCAACTTTGAACTGAAATGTTAGCGTAAGACAGGAAATTCTATTTTGTACCATGTACTATTCATAGTTGGATATCGGTGAATTTCCATTTCTTGACGTGTTTCCATTAGCCTAGAAATACAACGGATGAATAAATGAGACTTGAACATTAGTATGTAACCAGAAATATCGAGAGAATGTCGTATATTATTCAATAAATTATATGAAGTATTTTTTGCAAGCAGGTTCCAAAGATTTTTCTCAATCAATTAATCAATCGTTCGATGAATTCTTATTTGTATAATAGTTAGCGAAGAGTACTTTTAGACTTTACCTGCGAGACTAGAACTGAAATTAATGAATTCCTCCGATCAAAATCATAATTGTAACGCTGTGAAGAGGTAGGAAAGTTCATTGTCATTACTTTCTATGGATAACTATGTTATCATTTCATACGACTTCTCGGTAGCAAATAATAGAATATTTTATATCCATTTTGTAAAATGAAAAAACGATTTTCTCACATGATATCAGTAATCATTGGCAATAATGTACTGTAGTTGAGTTTCAAAAGTCATTTTGAATTGACTTATTGATAAAAATCAAAAGTCATTTTTGAATTGACTTATTGATAAAAAAGATTTGTTGAAATGAGTACATAAGCTCAGATGTTCTCCATCTGACATACAGACCTAAACATTTTATCATAGTCTCCAATGCAGGAGATAGTGCGTAAGAGTAAGGATATCGTTTGGAATTTGCAGGATAGCTGAGTTTAAATTTTATTTGGATCAAACATTTCGGAACTATGAATAAATCTTTGAGAGAATAGAAATTAATCACAGCACTCTTCAACTTATGTACAAAGTGAGGATAGTCTGTCGTCAGTCGCTTCGGAAATTTTTTGAAACCTTCAAAAATGTCACTGACGACTTACATTCACTATCACTTAAGTTGACCACACTCATGTGATACTTTTTGGACTGTAATTTAAAATGTTGAATTGTTGCATAATGATTTTGTTTATCCTAGTAGGCATAGTCACGTCTAGAATTCGTATCACTGTTAGAATTCACTCATCAAGATATACATATTAATAAACGAAATATTTATTTCAGTACCACAACTTATTCAACGATGACAATGAGGTCTCAGATCGATTCAAGTGATAAAGATACTAATCATCAGAGACATGTGTCAACGCCCAGTTACAATCAGTACCTCGACAACAAGTAAAAATATGTGACTAATTTTTACTCAGTTGAATACAATCTATCATTTTGAAGCGATGGTAACGTGTCCTTATTGTGGATCTTCTGTTCATCAGTCATGCAGTAAGACTCATCAGGTAGAAATCAACAGAAAATAGAAATGTTTTGAATCGAATAAACAAGATCTTGTTTTCCTGTCAATTAGGATAATTGCTATTTAAATCCGTGGAACATTATGAAATTACAATCATCCGATCCAACTGTCACTGCAAATCGATATTCAAGTATGCATATTTTCTTTAATTTCTTGACTAAATTTTATTTTACAGATCAATCTACACTAACTACGGAACCTAAGACTGGTAGTCGCATGGAGATTTCCTGCAGTCACTGTTTCAAGATAATAGATGTAGACAGTTACTTTGATCATTTGGTTAGTTTAAGCTCAGATTTTTAGCCTAATATTGTGATTTTTCTAATAGAGAGACTTTCATCTGATATGAAGACTATAATGCGACGACAGGTTCTAGCAGTTAACCACCACTACTATGACTTCTGTACTTCAAATCATGTTGTTTTAATTTTTCATATTTTCTTTTCCTCAACAAAAGAATTTTTACATATTTCAATAAAATGGGTGTGGGTGTGGGTGAGTGTGAGTCAGTAAGATGCTCCCTCATACCCACACCCACTACAGCATCCACACGCCCGCCCACACTAACACCTATACCCATACAATATGCAACTTCTACTCTCAGATGAACTTATTATTCTTATCAAAAGCTGTGATGTTTTGAATTTTTCTTTTAATGATATCGTATCAAGAATATCGATCTCTTACAAATAACTATTAATTGATTCACGGTTGACAAATTATACAAATCAGCTGTCAAATAGAACCCAGCGTTTCCACAAGAAGCGGAACTAAGAACCGAATTTTCAAGATTTTGATATCCGAAACCGAAGTGAAACCGTTGGAACCGTGAAGCTTTTACTGGTAACTATATTCGTCTATGCTTATTCAACTTTAGCTATTTCGATCCTAGTAAATTTTCCATTCACTTATTGCTTTGAGTTTTGATGTTATCATAATGCTAGATGATAAGAAAGTTTTTTCAGGCATGGATACTGCAGAAAAAGTAAACACAGAATTTTGATAAAGAAATCTAATATTGCTATAAAGTTGCCAGGTCAATCACGCTCAATCGAATCCGATCGGATTCAAATAATTTTGGGGTGCTTCTGTCGGAAGTTGTCGGAATCCCAGTTACTGGATTCCGACGAAATCCGGACCGGAATTCGTTAGTTAGAATTGATTGACCTGAGTTAGTAAGAAAATTTTTAATGGAACTACTCCAACTAATCGGAAAAGGAAGACTACCGATTGTGATCAACAATCCACTTCGTTGCATTGCACAATCAAGAATAGTTTAAGACTTCAGCAGCAAGAAAAAGAGTTGGAAAAGACGAAATATTTGATATTGTTATTTGTGGTGATGATTATGAAACAAAGAACACAGGTTTTAGTATAACTCATTAAATCGATGAGGGTGTGGGTGTGGGTGTGGGTAAGAGTGTGGGTGGGTGTGGGTCAGAGGTTCAAACAGGCTCACTTTTTAAAGGCCTCGCCTGCCTGAGATCGGCTTACATCCCTTGTAACCTGTCTGTGCCGGTTCTTTGTTTTCTTTGGCATAGCCTGCCTGCCTGTAATTTTTCAGGCCTGTATGGGCCTGCCAGTCAAGGCCTGTGTATTTTTTTCACGTCAATATCATAGTAACATGGGGGTGTGGGTGTGAGTGTCGGTGTCGGTGTGCGTGTGGGTGTGGGTCTGGGTGTTTGAAGAAACTATCCACACCCACACCCACGCACCCCACGCCCACGCACCCCACACCCACGCATCCCACACCCACGCACCCCACACCCATCGACCCACACCCACCCATACCCACACGCACACCCACCATTTGATCTTTCATAAACGACAAAAATTTTTACTCGACACCTCTTTTTTTCCAAAAATTTTTCAAGATCTCTGTCATCCTCTATTCGAAAAATCAGCCAGTTTTCGAAAAAATAGAAAATCTTTTTCGTTTTTTCTCCGCTTATGACTTCTTAATGGTGCAAATCAAGTTTCTCTGTTGTTACTTATACAATGAATTTAATTTTCTTCTGTTTGAAAGAGCGCGTCATTCTTTTTCAAAAACAAAACATTCGAAATACATGAAAAGGAGTATGGGTGATGGTATTGACTTGATATCAACTATGTATGAAAATATATATAAAATGTTTTGCTTTGAGGCTTTTTATTTATGTAAATATGAATATAATATGCTACATACGTCAAAATAAAAATTAATTTGATAGTTATTTCTACGACCTTTTGCTCCTCAATATTTTTTCAAGGATGAATATGTTTCGATGTTATTTTGTATGCATTATTCACTAGAGCTCTGCGGTTCCAAAAAAATTACAACCGAGAACCGAATCGAGGACCAAATTTTTGTTTCTCTTACCTGGAACCAGAACCGTTAGGAACCGAACTTTTTCTTGAGGATGAGAGTTTCAAGATGTGTGGATGTTGCAAGATGCGCATTATATCAGTACCTTGCTTCATTTATTCATGATAAGTTTTCGTAGTAATCCTGGTTTTCAAGAAAAAGCTCTTAAGTTAGTGAAAACGGTTTGGGTGTGGGTGTGGGTGTGGGTGTGGGTGTGGGGTACGTGGGTGTGGGTATGGGTGTCGGTGGCTGTGCACGTGGGTCTTCTCGTCACTCAAAATCACAGCATACACCCACACCTACAGCCAAAATCGAGACTTGAAAGTAAAAATGTGGAAGATCCAGACTGTTCTTTCGGTACAACTCATTTTGTCATCCATAAAAGGC